AATCACCTGGGGGCAGCACTTGCCTCATGGTTTTGCTTTTCAGCAGCTGCCTCAGCTGGTAGACTTGTTTTTTGTTTTTGTTTTTTTTAATTGTCTGTTTTAGCTCAGCTTGGCACCTGTACTTAGGCTCTGGACCCCCCCCCCACCCCCAAATGCACAGTTTGCACCCGAGGATCTGAATGCTCCTAACAGCAGTTACATGCCAGCTGCATGTGCACTGCAACATGGGAGGCACCCAGGGACTGTGCCAATAGGAACTAAATATACAGACTCTGTAGCACATAAAATGAACTTACTCCTGAACGTGGAAACACTCATGCTGTAACCCTAATGCAGTTATGAACTAATGTCTTACAGGAGGAAGAGACAATGCTCTTCCTAGCCCCATAGCACCATGCAAAACCTTCCCTTAGTGGAGCAGGATTCAATCCCCCTTCCCCCAGCACTACCATCCTCACAGAGCATTATAACAAGCCAATTATACCTGCATTTCCAGCTTCTTCAAGTGTCAGGTAACAAAACAGCCAACGCCATTCTCATCACCGATGGTATAGAAAGGACAGCAAAAAAAAAAAACGTATGAGCCCATGCTAAGGCACAGCTGGAAGAAAGTGGTCAACAGCAGCAACATCCTTTTTCTCATGAGCGCCTTGGTGCTTCTAGAACTCCCCTTCTTGGCTCAAAAATGAAGAGAGACCAATAAAATCAGAGCTCATACAGTAGTGAAAATGCAGTAGCACCCTCATTCAGGTATGGGCCTAAGTTATTAAGGAGACAAGAACAATGGGGATTAGGGAGGAAGAACACCCCACCACCAAAAACAACAGAAGAACGCCCCCAAACCACCTTTGCTTTTACCCCTTCCCTGTCCGGTGCAAGAACCAAACTGCCAGAGTAAGGCTGTATGCTGTGATAGCACCATTTTTTTTTAGATCTATCCAACTAGTTATGACGAGCACAGAAAGCAAGTATCAAGTAGGGGAAAGCAGAGCACTTTGATAATTTTAACATGAGGAAAGAATCCAGCAGCAAACCGATTTAGTTTACAAGATTTTTAATTTACAAATAAAAAACCTACACATTTTACTTTTTCTCCTTTTTCTCCTCTTTCTTGACATCACTCTTCTCCTTGTCTTTTTCCTTCTCATCTTTCCTCTCTTTTTTGCTGTCTTCTTTTTCCTGTCCTTCTTTCTTCTCTGCATCCCTATTAGCAATCTTGTTGTTAATGAGGTTGTGCAGAGCAACCACAGAACGGATAAGAGAAGCCAGATAAACTACCACCATCTGGTCATTGGTCTTCAGATAAAAGGCCTTGACAAACTCTTGCAGGTTGACATCTGGTAGCAGGTTGAAGACGTCCTGCAGATGGTAAATGATCTGGTGATTGATGGGTAGCTTGCCCATGGCTACCTTCTCTAAGTAGCTCCTGATGTCCAGAAGCTTGGAGTTCAGTCCCTTCAAACCATGGACCTGATTTGTGATCCGCTGGGACAGAGTGCCCACTGTTGTATCCTTGATGTCTCTGAAACACCCACAACAGAAAGAATCAGCATTAGAATGTTACTTTGCACACTCATTAATAGGTTTTTCCAGCTTAAAAATAGAAGTACCATTTTAAGCACAGATGAAGTGCAATTAAACTGAATGCTTCAAGTCAAAGACTGAGAACAAACTGATTCCCATTTGCGCACTCAGAAATTAGCTCTAATAGCTCATTGTTCTTTGTTTTGTCCTGTGGTGTGCATGTTCTCTTTGGAAGGATATTAGTAACACCAGTCCGATGGAGAGAAAGAAAACAACAGGATTTCTGATAGGTGAACAGCCAGGCAGTTTGTATTTGGTGACTACTCTTTTTTGGACAAGAGATCTCTGCTAATATGTCAGCTACAGATATATCAGCAATACTTCATGTAATACTGCTCTTTGAGAGATGTACAGTGAGTGGCTTGGAACTGGTCCAAACAACCCAATCCTCTGAAGCTTTGATACAGTGAAATTGTAGTTTTCGTCATCTGATGATATTTCAGTAAGTAACCACACATTTCACTAGCAATGATTGAATACGCTAAGCAAGACTGCCAAATTAATGCTCTCTTAAAATTTAAGTAGCATGTTTAACAAGATCTGTTTTTCCTCCAGGAAGCTGGCACTGGATGATGCCAGATGGATCCTGTTCAGTGCTATGCTAGTTTCATCTGGATGATGCCAGATGGATCCTGTTCACTGCTATGCTAGTTTCACGAGAAAGCTTTTGTTTTAAAAATGTTTACCGTAACAAGTGTTCAACACCAACTTCCTCTGCTTCCTCCGCCCCAATTTCACTGGTCACATGTTCAAACGTCTTGGAGGTTGGAGTGCCATCCTTTAAGGTGGAGGAACACGAAGGGATAAGGTTAGATACAAGCAAATAGCTTACTACAGGTACTCAGATACATATGAGCTAGCCAATATCAGGTGTCTCACACGTATAGAATGGGCACTGCTCAAACAATGGGAAGGCTAAGATTGCTGAAACCTGGATTTGCACGACAGGATCTGGAAGAGGCACTAGAAAAAACATGGCAAAGCAGAATATCAGGAGACTGAAGTACACAGGTAAGGCGAGAAGTTTATAAGTGAATCACAATGCCTTTTAAAAACATGGCGTTTTAGATAGGAAACTGAAGGAATTGTGTTAGTCAATCTAGCAAACCAGTTATGTACAGTCCACAAGAAATCAGAGAAGACTCTAGTTTGAGTTTTCTTGGTTTAACTAGCAATCCTAACTGTCAAATGTCCAGAGCTGCTAGTGATTGCTTCTTCCCTGGGCTCTGCATAATTTTCAATTAATATATTTTTTGCAGGTTTAAATGCTGGTAGGTAGAATATGGAAAGTCTTCCTAAATGTCCTAACAACTACTTTCTTTCCTGATACAGCCTTTTTGTATTTGGGGATACCTTCTGTCATCCTGCTACTCACAAGCACACATGCCATTCCAGAAAGAATACAAATATGGAGCAATTCTAACTACAATTTATACAGTATTATAATTATTAAGGAAGAAATTTAAGAGATTTAAAGGCTGAATTACTGAGTTTTACCTATGTGTTTTCAAAATCAGTACTTGGACTAGTACACAGTCATAAACAGAAAGCACCACTGGGTCTACTGTGGATTCACCTGACTGTGGATTCATCCCACATATGTAAGACCTATAATACCAGGAACAGCTGCTTCTCTCTAGCAAGGGCCTCAGGCAGGCAAGAGAACCAAACTCTTTTATAGATGTCCAGAATGCATAAAATCAGACAATTATGAAAGGAAAGCTAAAGCTGACTTACTACTATATGTTGTCCGTGTGCACAGCGGTTGCAAGTGATTAACAAGTGTTGCTCATGTCTGACCTACTTATTCAGCACTAGCTGGTAAACAAATGAATAATCGTGCAGCTGCCTGGAATACTTCTACAAACAGGCTGACATGTAAAAGTGACATCTTAGGAGCGTTCCAATTTGACTTTTTGCACGGCTGCAGACATGACAGATACAGGTAAGAAGCATCTGAATCATACCAACAGCGGAAGCTGTGGAGTTTTTTAGGTCAAACCGTAAAATACGGCTTTTCTTTCAAGAGCATTGATGGATGAAAGCTTTAAATACACAGGCTTACGCTCGTATTGGAATTTAAACTTTGTTTTTAGAGAATTTGGCTCGATAGTCACTGGCCCTCATTAGTGAATGCAACATCCCCTATAATTGTAAAAGACAGCTAGATGCCTCGGGACGTGTATCTCTCAGAAAACACAGCAATCCTAACACTCACCTTTTAACTTAAATCCTTTTCCTAGAAAGTGAGAGAGAGGTATATTAAATACTCACATCGTGTACTTCTTCAACTGAAATATAAGCTTCCGTGGGCAGCCCCAGATCCTTTGGTTTCACATCAATAATCACCAATACCTTATGGAAAAAATAAATATTTCAGAAAACCAGGCATCTTTCAAGGACTGGAACAAAAGTACTGACGCCAACTCTTCATTCTACAGCAATGGCACGCTGGATGCTCAGAAACACTAAATTCAAGCATGGAAAAAAAAGTTATCTACCTATTAGCTATTTCAGAAGATTTTGGTCCAAATTCCTCAATCACTTTACAGCTACCAGTTTTTAATGTTCAGTATCCCGGATAACAATGGGAGGGGTTAAGGGTTCCTAGGCCTCCCACCCAGAAGAAAAAGAAAAGTTACAAGTTTAGCACTTACAGAGTTAGGACAGTATCTCTTCATCAGTTCATTGATAGCAATGTCGTTCTTGTGTAGTTTAGGGCCTGTGTGGTACCATCCAACTATTCTTTCTCTAGCTGAGCAAAATCAGAAAGGATTCAAATCGGAATCATACAGTAAAACAGCTGAAAGATTTACACACAGAGATTGAATTAGCAAATCAAGGGGGAAAATATGTCGTCTGCAGAAGATGAGTGTAAAGTAGGGGAAAAGGAATGAGCATAGGCAGGACAACGCCACAGCTAGTGACAAAGGGGTGTTACCACTCTTACTTTGCACATGTAACTTCACTTCTAGTATCTTTAGTAAATTACAGCATTTCATGTCATTTATATAGTTTTGCAGATAACATGATTTGTTAGCTTGAAACTTCAATATGTATGGATGCAACAGTTCTAGTTGCTCCCAGGGCTGAGGAAATTCATAGGAATTGCAGTTGTGACTAAACATTCAGCTTCAAAGTCTTGAACTAAACAGTGAAAACACTTTTAAAACCAGTATCAAAGAGTAAATGGAATTATTATTTCAAGTGGGAATTTATAATGTCTACATTGGTGCAAAAGCAATTTCAGGGGACATCTGTCTAGAAAGGCATAGGTAGGGGAAAGCTTTGAAATTCTTCAGAAATGATCACGTTTTTGAAATCCAAATAATTCTAAAGATATTTGGGAAAGTTAATGAGGTATAAATGAATGCATTAAGAAGAAAAACTATTTAAGCAAACTAGCTCATGAAAAAATACCAGTAATACAGACAAAGTGAGTCCACGCAAGGAGTTAGCATGGAGTAGCTCCATGCATCCAGGAGCTATTAATTTCCCATCTTACTATGAATTCTCTTTCTCACACATACAAACCCTTAAAAATTTCTCAGAATATCACTCCAAGAAACCCCACACTTACCATTGACTTTCTTAAACATTCCATACATGTTCTCCAGATAGTCATGGTCTAGAAACCACACAGTATCATCCTTATCGTCCTCATCAAAAGGTACTGGAAATAAAACAAGATATCAGTATTTAAAAATCCAAATTCCAGCCTGGAAACGTCCATAGAAAGATGATGTTTTAGGATATCTTTGGCTGCTAAATGAGACTAGATTTGAATCAGCTTAAACTGTCCTGCAGCATTAGGCTGCGTAAACTAAACTGAAATGCTAGTCAATTCTCTTCGACAGAGGCTCTCTCATAATTATTAAATTAGTAAGACTGGTGAGCATAAACGCTTGATATGATAATTTGAGTATCTTGACAGACTTTATAGCTTGCTGACAACAGAAGTTTACTTGGAGAAAAATCAGTTTTCAGTATAGAATGCATGCCATTAGTGCTCTTGTGTACAACTAGAGCATAACGATGTATTTTAAAAAAGGACTTATTTACTCTTTAGGAAAGAACTAGCTATTTTATCAGTTAACAAGTATAAAGGAGCACAGCTTCAGTTCTGAGAGCAAGCATTTAAGAGACACCAATTGCAACACAATGAACAATATGCTTAGAGGAACAATCACTACTTTTACTGCACAAAACCTGAAGAAAAGAGATAAAACCTAAAACATACGTTAGATCTGTACACAAGTAGCTAATAGCTACGCCACCGCTATACACTACGGCTTCTGTCCTGCCGCCTTACGACACGGACCACTCATCAGAGACCTGCGGTAAGTTCTCCGCAGCAGAATATTCACCAGGTTTTCAGAAGAGGTTTACACCTACTCCCGAAACGTTGCACGTTGTACACCATCACGGAGAAGATGCACAACAAGACTGGCTGGAACAGGCGTGGGTCTGCGAGCAAGTAGTTGGCATTTTTGTTTGATACGGGCTGCTTTGTAAGCGTCAGGAAGAACGGGTGGTCTGGCCAGGTGGCTTAAGAAAGAAATTATGTAATTCACCCATCAAATAATTCGGTCGGTTTTAAGCCAGGCGAAGCACCCAAACTCACCTGCAAAACTGTTGGATACATCCAGTATTTTTTTCTGCCAGGAGCCCAGCAGCACGCCCACAACTCGCTTCTGGTTCCCAACCTTCCCTATCCTAAAGGGGAAAAGCCGGTCAGCGCGCAGAAGCGGAACACGCC